TTGGACTACTGGTAGTCAGTCAGTCCTTAATTATTAAATAATATAGGGCATTAAGTTTTAAGTAACATTTACCTATATTTGACTTTAAAGTAAACAAATCTATTTTGTTTTGTTCACTTTGTCTTATTTTTTTTATTTAATATTATTTCAGTTGCCATCGTCATCGCGTGAGTGTCATGATTGCTGGCGAAGGACTGATAATGCAGCATCACGTTAAACTTTAGAACGGGAACCATCTGAATCTTCTAGTCCGTCCTCGTTGCAATCTAAAGTGAGTAATGTATTGAACCTAGAACTACAAAGCTTAGATCATACATCGTACAATATACTACTGCCTAATTTTGTAAGAGCACCACTCACACAAAATCAATGTTTTTTCCTGGTTGTAACAATTCCAATCAACTCACTGTTTCATCAGCATTGCGGGTATGTCTTTTTGCGAATACAATTACTATGTACCTCCAGAATGTAGAATCAGTAACTACCATTTAAATAGTAACTCTTGGGATTTACTTTTAGAATCTATATATAACCATATTAAAACATTTAGTGTAGAATAAATTATAGATTTTGCTACATTATTGTAAGATAATATATACCATCATATAGACTTTGAAAATATTCACAGTATGCCTGAACATACTGTACATTATTATCTAGGTTTATCAAAGGCACAATACCAACAAATTCTGTCTGAAGTTCCCAGAATGTCAAGTAAACATAGTGATTGTTTTGTACTTGCTGTATATTTCATGAAAGTAAGAACAGGAGATAGTGACGAATGCATATAGGCATTATTGCAAGTGCCAAGAAACAAATTAGAGCGGCTCATGAATATGGTCCGCGAAATATTAAATCAGGATGTTGTTCCTATGAATTTTATCAATCGTTACCACTCTCTGTGCCAAATCCCATTCAGTAATTATGATATTATACTAGACGCAAATAATTTCTTAGCTTTCCTAGATGTTTTTGTCATCCAAAATCCTAACACCATCATAGGTCACACTGTGTATAGAAAAAAGACCCATACAAACTTATATTTAAACGGTGAATCTCACCATCATAGTTACCGTAAGCAAATCTTTGTTACAGAGAGCATGTGGGATTTGTGACAGCAAGCACCTGGCCGTGGAGCTTCAGCATGTCAAGCAGGTTCTGCACAACATCAAGCAACGGGTCCCGCGTCTATGTCACGGTGATCGAGTGAAGCCGACCGCAGTCGAGCGTGTGCCTGCTGTACTGCTGTACTACCGTATGTCAAGGGTGTCACAGACAAGATTGGCTATATCTTAAGCGAGCTTTTATTAGAACATTCTATAAGCCGCCGAAGAATATTAGTCAGTTTTCAAAATCCATCAAGTGTCATATTACTCTACAAGATGCAGGAACTATTGTATCTCAAGAATCGTTCTCCAATTTGGGTTGCTCAAATTCAATCAGGAATCTAGCTGTGTCATACCCATTATCTTGTTTGTGTTTCTTTCATGCTTGAAAATGTTGGGCACAATTTATGTATATCGAACTTAGTGTTTAATCTGTAATACATCAATGCTATTTTAAATAAATTACTTACAGATGTCATCCATGAATGAAGTTTGTGAAGTTTGCTGGGACAAAGCTCGAGATTTGAGCTTACATGTACCAGAAGGACCACAAGAAAGATCCCAGCATATTGTGTTGTCCAATATAAGAATTTCCGCTTTCATGCAATATATACAATAGAGGTATCCCGAGAGAGAATAGATGGTTTAAAACAAAAACAAACATGATGGGAGGGATGCAATCAGAAGTTATTGCTGTAACTGCATTGTAGGTTTAAGAAGCATCCCACTGGGATGCTACTCACATGTTATTAGTATTATTTGGTACCTACGCCATGCTCCCTATGAGGGATTACCCGGCCTGGCACCTTCTTAGATGAAGTTTTATAAAGAATTTATTAATTATAAGTACAAGAAAATAAATGAACTAAAAATATATATATATATAGTTATGAGTGTAGGTAAATATATAAATTTTTATTTACCTACACTCAAAACCCCATCAGAACTTCATCATTAACAAATTGTTGCAGTCTGCTGCTGAATATAGGTATCTCCTAATTCACAACGCTGAGTAGATACCGATACTCATCTCAATCTACCTACTTAAGGGGAAATATAATGTCAAATGGCTTAGCATGATCCTTCGTTATGCCGAAAATATTGCAGCATTAATTTTGAAATAAATATATGGTAAAGTTGAGGATTATAGTTAGTGATTATGTTAGACGAAAACACGATTTCGTAAAATTTTCTCGATAGAAAAAAAAATCCAAAGTTACCTCCAAAATAAACAATAAGCCGCTGTTATTCATAAAATACTTTAAATAAGATCATGAAACTTTGCATACTAACTGAACTAACTATATAGCAGTGCTTATGTTATTTACTTTTTTTAAAATACCATTATTTTCACTGTAAAAAGAAATTACCTAAACTATCGGCGTCTTGAGCTTGATTCCTGTCGCACCGTTAGTATCGCTTAGGCTTTTGAAGGGAGAAGTTGTGTCGCTTACGATCAGAATATACATTACGCAACAGTACGACGTAAAATTAAAATGGGAAACAACCGTGATAAAAATAAGAAGCGGCTGGCTTGGCTTTAAGAAACAGGCATAAATATGATAAACCTAATGAAATAAGTGTCTAACGACCTTTCTACTTACAGTATTAGTGATTACAAATATTTCGGTACATAGCATACGATGCGCGGGGAAGTGGGGGCGAAATTAGAATTTGAGCTGACTTACTCTAACCTCTTAATGGTAGAACCACGTTGTAGCTATAATATGGTTGTAGCACGAATGAGTGCTCGACCGAGGAAGAACCACCCTCTCCCAGAATACCAGTGTAAAATAGCAGCTTAATACTGCTGTGTTTCGTATGCTAAGTGTAGAGATCCGGAGACCCTTTTTTACTGGAAACGAGGCATTCGATCCTAGTCCTCAGAGGTGACAACGCATTTGAATTTTGATTCTAAATCGAGAATAAATGTAGATGTCTATGGGCCACAGCATCCACTAACCATCAGGTGGACTGTTTGTTCGATTGTCACCCTTATTCTATAAAAAAAAATGGTTAGTAAAGCACTACAGAGTAGCGAAAAGCAATATAGAATATTTACTAATTATTTACTTTTATTACTACTTATTTTTTTATTTTATTTGCCTAAATTTAACGATCTTACATAGGTACACTAAGATAGGTTTTAGCCGTCGACGGATTGTCACTCTGTTTTGTTAATTGAATAATGATTTGAAGTAGATTTTGATTTGTAAAAGTGATACGATTTTGTGAATTGTCTGCGCGTGTGAACTATTAGAGAAAACGAAGAAACAAGTGGTTTGATGTTGATATAATCTCCCAAAAACTATAACGCATCAGCATATTGTGATGAAAAAAAATATGAAAACGAAAATTACGAAAGAAATGATAGGCTCAGAAGGGCTAGAAACCAAAGCCGTAAAGCCAGATAAAAAAAAAATTGAAACACTAGTACAATGGGTGCGTTTGGCAGAAAAAAGCGCTAGCAAGCGCTTACAAGCGCTGAAATAGTTTTCGGCCAGGACACGATTACTACTTCAGTAGCGCTGACACAATCCGCCATTTTGCTTATTTAATTTGTTTGTTTTGAAATAGAGTTTATAAGTTGTTTTGTGCAATATTAGTTTTAAGTAATATAATAACGTGAATAAACATATACATGTTATTAAAAATTCATGATTGGTAAGTTTTTAATATGAATACTTTACAAACATATATTTAAATTAGGTTAGGTTCTCCGTTAAAACTAACATCGTGTCCCGGAGGAAAATAGCTACTTACGATTTGACAGCGCTTACCGCTTACGATCGCCATTTTGCTTATAAGCGCTTGCTAGCGCTTTTTTCTGCCAAACGCACCCATTGTATTAATATTAGTCTATGGTCTATGTAGATAATCTTAAAAATTAAAACTGTTTATAACTTTTATCTCCCAAGTTCTAAAAATCTAAGAATTTAAAAGGGATTTATCTATCCTACTAACCACTTATTAAAACCAAAAAATATTGGGATATTTTTGGTTACGAAATTTTATTAGCGGTACGAAACTCCCATATAAGCCTGCCATTACCCCTTAATTTTAAATTAATGAACTTACTTGCGTATACAGTTTTTTTCAAATATTTTCTCATTAATAGAAAATTACCAACTAACCGAGTAATATAACGTTATAACGATATATCGTTATTAGCGGTTTTTCGCTATTGGTACTGTCATGTTGACGGTACGGGCTCTATGAAACGCCATGTCTAATACCATTCTTTGTCCGTACGGGCTATACTTGTGACTTTATAAAAACTTGTAATAAAAATTTGACTTTTAATGGTGAAATGTTAACACCTCTTAGCCAGCGTGTATTTGGTTACAACGTAGATTTTTTGGAAAGTTTATAATTCTGAGGTAGACAATAATAATAAATCATTAAATTTCCTGATATTGCGGGCATAATTCTGAGAAAATCAGATAATTATCATTGATGAAAACAGTCATAAAAAAATTATTCCTTTACAAAAGCAGTTAAAGTCATTTTTTGCGAGCTAATTGCTATTCTATCCTTACCGCCAAGTACGTGGCATATTTTTTTTATTTGAAAGTAATCGACAGACTAATTTGGAAGAATAATTTGGAAGAAAACGTTATGTTTTGTACAAAGGGTCTACATAAGATATAAAATCTTAATTCGTCAATAAAAAGTAAAAATTTTTCTCTATTTTTTTTTTGTCGACAGTTTGTTTAACCCCCTTTTAGGATTGCACTTTACTGAGGGGCACACTGTATACTACATAAACACTCGTAACAATAACAGATTTACTGCAAGTTTTGCATATAGATGTCTAGTATTTCCCATGACGTTTAAAAACAACACCATTTACTGTTAGTATATTACACTATTTGTTTAATATAAAGTACTTACCACTCTTCGTTTCTCAACACTCTCTATCAGCATAGTTTGACCAGGTATAGAGGCACGGCCTCGAAACATTTCCATTACTTTTGCCATCGCACTAGGCCGTCGACTCTCTGATACCGTGAGGGTATGATAATACTGTGAAAAATAGCAAAAATATTACTATCAAGAAAATTATTATTTATTTTTATATCAAAATCTCTAAAGAATTGATTAAAACTACTTTTACGGATTTTATCGCGTTTTATTTATTTTATTTTAATATCCGACGTTTCGGGTGCTTCCAGGTTCTGCACGACAACAAGCTTCAGGTCCCGCGCCAACGTCACAGTGACCGAGTGAAGCCGGCCACAGTCGAGCGTGTGCCTGCTGTACTACCATATGTCAGAGGTGTCACAGACAAGATTGGCTACATCTTGAAGAGAGCTTCTATTAGAACATTCTACAAGCCGCCGATGAAGATTAGTCAATTCTTACCATCCGTCAAGTGTCATGTTCCTCTACAAGATGCAGGAGTGTACAAGCTTGATTGTGATTGTGGTCTCTCATATATAGGGCAAACAAAGAGATCAATTAGAACCCGCGTAAAAGAACACATAGCTGACGTGAAGCATCAACGTTCCGGGAAGTCTGCAGTTTACGATCATATCCTAGATGGCCCCAATCATTATATCAGATTTGATAGACCACAAATCCTCGCGAAAGAAAATCGATTCCTACCAAGGATGATACGTGAGGGTATTGAAATTAAAAACATCCTAATTTCAATAGAGAAAGGGGCTGGGTACTACCACCTGCTTGGGATCCTATAATTAACAAAATTAAAACTAAACCCAAGCATACCACTGCAAGATCAAAGTAGACGACAAAAAAAAAAAGAAGGTCCGGGAAAAAAAACCGAAAGCCCCCCCCCTGGGTAAAAAAAACCAAAAAAAAAAAAAAAAAACAAAAAAAACAAAAAAAAAAAAAAAATGCAAGACTTCAAAACACAGTTAGTTCATTCTGCGTAGATCAGACCAAAGACAATAATTAAAAAGCTGAAGGTACTCCAGGTTAACTTTGACATCGGGACGTCAGTCACCTCAGTCCCCCGTGACCATGGGTGCTGGAAAGCACCCGAAACGTCGGGTATTAAAAATAAAATAAATGAAACCCGATAAAATCCGTAAAAGTAGTTTTAATCAATGTATAGTGTTCGCGTAAATATAAGAAATCATTATCTCTAATGAAATTTAATAATTAATATTACGTAATGACAATGATAATACACTTAATATTTACGCAAACAACGCATTGAGTAAATCCAACTATTTAAAAGGATTGTCATATAAAGAGCATAGTTAAATGACTTGAAACGTCGGAAATTAAAAAATAATTTAAAAAAGAAACGCGATAAATTCCGTAAAGTTCATTTTATTCAACTAATATTGCAATTTTTTTGATCCATAATGACATAACTATGAATTTTTAAAAATAGGATTAGGAACTAGCAAAGCCTTGCGGCGAATACATAATAAAATGGTGTACATTCCGCGAGGAAGATGAGCTTTGCATTTGTGTGAGTGCACATTGGCAATCGGCCTGAGCTGCAGTGCGTCCCTCACGCGTAGGTGTGTGTAGGGCGAATGTCAGGAGATGAGTCAAACAAACGAATTATGATATAAAACTGCCTTTATTGTATTAGTAAATTGGGTTATATAATATTATTATTACACTTGTGTGTGTACTTCTATATATTCTTGTAACTACTACTACACCTTCCATCCAAAAAAATGTAATAATACAATGATACACATTTTTTAAACATTAAAGCTTTTATTTTTCTAAATATTAGTAAACTTACATTATAAAAAAATATATACATAGGTTTGTATTTTTAAGACATTTTTTATTTATTTTTATTAAAAAAGAAACCTTATTCTGACGTTCTAAACATAACTTTTTTTTATTAAATTGCAAAATGATTATTTAATTTAGATTACTTATCACTAAGTAATATTAAGTAATACAATGTAATCCACAGAAATAATAATAATAATAAATGCATTTAGACAAAGCATATAAAGTTTATTTTATTTATTATTGAATATACAATTTCGTGCGGTTTTTATGCACTAATTTATTTTTACCATTTTTAATTATTTCTACGTTTGGTGGCATATATTTAACAACTTTATAAGGGCCAGAGCATAAATCACTTAGTTTATTACCTGAAACATTTTTAAGAGTATATAAGTAGTAGTACATTTACATTGTATTTTATAGGCTTGGTATATTTATCAAATACAATTTTTCTCTTTTCTTTAGACTTTATCCAATTATTTCTTGCCTCTGTTTGTGACAATTGTAACCTGTATTTGAGCTCATATGGATAGTGATCGTAGTTATAAAGTGGCTCTAAATCTACAGTCAAATTACTAGGAAGTAAATATTTTTTACCAAAGACAAGTTCGTAAGGAGTGCATTTCGTCCTTGTATGAACTGTCGTATTATAGGCAAACAACCAAAATGGTAACCAATCGCTCCCACCATGTTTCAGGGTGATTATCATAACGAACAAAAAACCATAAAACCCCCAAGGGGGGAGCACCCCTCCCCAACAATTTTTTTTTTTTTTCACAACTAAAAATAAATAAAAAAAAAAAAAAACTTTTTTCTTTTTTTTTTTTAATAAAAAAAGTCTTACATATCTTTTCAAATTTAATCGCATTGTTAGCTGTCATTGTTATTTCTAATGGCTATCTTACGGGTAACGAAAATATCTGACGCTGACTGATTTGTTACAACGCCTAACGAAATTCCTTACATCATTATCTAATCCAGGCCAATAATAGTACTTTTTTATATTGTTGACCATCCTTCTCATACCTGCATGGCCACTGCTAGGTAGATGAAAATCATTTAATCACCTTTATGTCATCCTTATTGTATATCGTTTTTACATTACTTATTATGTGTGCACCTGGACCGGTCTATTATTCATAGAATTGATTTCTACAACTAGTTTTTTAATAAATTCTTTATCATCACCCTTCTTTATTATTACATGCTCCATTAACATTTAGTAACTTACAAAAATTATCTCCCTCACAAATTCGCGTCGCGTCATTCGGGAGTCAGAACTTAGACATTTAATATAAATTGTCTTTTTCTTTTCAACATAACAAAATGTATTATTTTCATTACTAATAACTCTTAATTTTCTCAATTTTTTCCAATCATCTTTATTAATCATACGCAACTCCACTGATTCTGCTTTAACATGATTACTTAGGGCTTTCGGTTGATCAGGCCTCAAGTCTGTGGGTATCATGGCCAACGAGGAAGATTCAGGTATATTTATTTTTCGCGATTTTGCTTATGTCATGACATTAACGATGTTCTCATTTAATTATTTTAACTCATTCGAACTCAAACAGATTCTAGATAACGCATCTGCAGCTGCATTATCTGAACCCTTTACATACTCTACGTCAAAATTATATCACTCTAATATCAAACGAAACTTCATAAGTCTGCTTGACGGATCTTTCATGCCAAATAAGGCATACAAGAGGTTTATAGTCAGTCCTGATTTTAAAATATTGCTCATACAGGTACGGTCTGAAATGTTTGACGGCCCATACTATCGCTAACAATTCTTTTTCTACAACTGGATATTTTGATTCGGCCTTATTTAGAGATCTGCTAGTTAAAGCTACCGGTCTTCCATGTTTATTCGACAAAACTGCTCCAATTGTTTTATTAGATGCATCGGTTTGTAAAATGAAATCATTTTCTTTTGAAAATCAGGATAATCTAAAACTGGCGGGGACATAATGCGTTTTTCGAGCGTTTCAAAAGACTTTTGACAGTTTTCACTCCAAACGAAATTAGTTTTTTTTTTCTACAAAGTTCGTTGGTGTTGATTGCGCGGTTTCAGCAAACTTGGGTATAAATTTTCTATAGTAATTTGTGAATGTCACAAATCTATTAACTTCGTCGGCATTCTGCGGACAAAGATACTTTTTTACTGTATTTACTTTTTCAGGATCAAGTGAAATCCCTTCACTAGATATACAATGTTACAAAACGTTACAATGTTAAAAATGTACATTAAGAAGGATTTAATTGTAGATTTACTGAACGAAATCTTATTTTGGTGGTCCAGTTGTCTACCAAAAACAATGATGTCATCTATATAAATTAAGCATTTTTGATTATTTAATCCTGACATTGCCAAATTCATCATTCGCGAGAATAAACTGGGACTTATTTTTACTCCCATTGGCATTCTCGTCATCTGGTATTGATCAAAATTGAAAGCAGTATATTTTCGACAACTTTTATCTAAATTAACATTGTAGAAACCTTGATATGAATCTAAATGTGTAAAATATCTTCGACTTCTATCTTTAACTTCGAGACAAAGATTCTAAGATTTCTGTAATATCAGGGAAAGGATACTTATCGTCCTCTATACAGTTATTTAATTTACGGTAATCCACTACCAACAAATTGGTAACCTGTAAGGTTTTGAAAACACTGGACTAACATTTAGTTTCAAAAAAATATTGTGACTGTAAATATCTGTTGTTCTCAATTTATCGCCCTCTAAATAAAAAATATCTGCATATTTTGCACAAATATTTTTAATACTTTGAAATTCTGAGTCATTTGAATCATTTAATTTTAATGAGGAAAATAATATTTTTACTCGATCTAAACTATTCTCATTTTTCTCAAAACTACAAATGTTATAATCGTTAAGATCACGAATTGAAGAATTTATTCCTGACAATATTACTGATTTTTCGGTAACATTCAAAATTTCTATTGGTATTTTTCCACTGATTGATGTCGCTATCGAGCTAGCCAAATAAACACCATCTTGTAATTCTTGTGAACAAATAATGAAATCGGTTTGAAAATATGGATTCATTTCTTGTAGGAATTTCCAATACATTAATATTATAATTATTAGTGAAAGACAAGTAACAAGTGTGGTCTGACCCTAACTTCAAAGATATTGTATAAGATTTGGAGCATGTTTAGATTTCGAGATAAAATATTTTTCTCGAAATCTAAACATGTTCCAAATCTATTCAAAAAGTCTCTACCTAGAATACCATTCGACGAAATTGGTAACGAATTAAAAA